GTCCCAGGCCCTCGGCTGCCTTTTCTGTGGGCTTCCTTGTTTCCCCTCCGCGGTTTTTGTAAATCGTTCAAGGCGGCTGATGCTCTTTCCTCCTCCCCCCCCATCTCCCCCACAACAACAGCCCTGTGAGGTGGGCTGGGCTGAGGGAGAAGGACTGGCCCAGAAACACCAGGTTGGCCTTCGGGTCGGATATTAAAGGATTAAAGTGAGACACCCCCAAGAGAAACTCCGTCCAGGTCTTGGCTAAGATTCACCAAGGGCTTCAGGGAAGATAATCCCAAAAACAGATTAATCAATCAGTCTATTGATTAGATCACCTCGGGCCAAAGGGAGAAGCTCTGGGTGTTCACACTTTCCTGTTTCTTAGAGAAGTGACCATTTTTAGCACACCTGGGTTCCGACATAAAACAAGTCAATACAGGCAGTCCTCGATTTATGACCGTTGATTTCATGACCGTTCGAAGTCACCACGGCCCTGAAGCAAAGAGGGTCATTTTCACGCTTATGAACATTGCACCATCCCCGTAGTTACGTGAACAAAATTCAGGTGCTTGACAACTGGTTCATATTTATGACAGTCGCAATGTCTCGGAGTCACGTGATCCCCTTTTGTGATCACCTGACAGGCAGGAAGCCGGATTCATTTAACAACTGTGTAACTACAGTGATGATTCGCTTAACAACGGTGGCAAGGAAGGCCATCAAACAGGGCAAAACTCTCTTAGCGATGGAAATTATGGTTGTAAGTCGAGAACTACCTGTGAATTAGTTGTTTTCTCCGTATTTCGCCCAGTGAGAGATGCTAAGGACTGCCTGGACTCGCAACCGAGGGGAAATTCTCCTCAGAATCCATTTAATAAAAATAAGAGTTAAAGTTAAAACAAATCCAATTAAAAATAAATCAGAATGAGAATCAAAACCGGAATTTGAGCGGAGGAGGAGAAAAGGAAAGAAGGAAGGACAAGAAAAGTGAACCTCCAACGGAGATTAAATATAAAAAAGGAAATACAAGGGAGATAAAGGAAGACTAGGTTGGAAAATAAACTATAAACCCCAAATTTCACCCAGAGGAATCAGGAAGGAATTCCCACAAGTGTCGTAAAAGCTCATTTCCCTCTTGATAGGAACCGTATTTTGCAAGAATCAGCCTTGCTCTGCCTCGTTTCATCATTTATTAACTTGTTACTAAAACAAAGGCTGCCTTTAAAAACCCCATTTTTTTGCAATTTCTCCGCTATTTCCCCTAAACGCGTTTCTTCTGCGTGCGGCAGTCTTAGCCTTCCCAACCTTGATTCAGACTTTAATTCCATGACAAATCTGAATTTACACAAATCTCGGATCTGATGTAGGTCTAAGAGGGGGAAATTGGGGAAAGACCGTCCCCCTTTTCCGTGGAGATTCCCGCTCCTGCCCACCGGATGGGGGATCCTTCGGAATCTTTCTCAAGAGGTTGAGGGTCCGCTAACCGCCTCCTTTTCCTTGGACAGCTTCCGAATGTCTTTCTCCGGCTTTCTGAAAACCCCGAGGAACCTCTTCACCCGTTCGGGCCGATCCTGGAGGGGAAGAGAAAGGCCGTCTTTGGTCAGGGTTGGTTCCCCAACAGTCGGGACGAAAAACAAGACACGTTCGGAATAGTCCTCGGCTTACGACCCCGATATTTCTGTGGCGAAGGGGGACATTTTATTCGTCCCCATTGGATGACGCTTCCTGCCAAAGCGGAAAAGTAAATCGCTGCGGTTGATAGACGAGTAGCCTGGTTGTTAAGTGAACCCCATGGACTTTGCTGGTCGGAAGGTCGCAAAAGGGGACGCTGCAACCGGGACTCTGCGACCATCATAAATACAAGCCAGTTGCCAAACAACTGGATTTTAATCACGTGACCCCGGGGAGGCTGCAATGGTCATCCCTGTGGAAAACGGTCCTCAGTCAGCTTTTTCAGTGCCGTTTCACTTTGGTCACTAAATGAACTGTTGTAAATCGAGGACTACCTGTACGGAATTACAGAGTTGGAAGGGGCCTTGGAGATCTTGGAATCAACAGGTGGGCCTCAACGGGACTATGTACTTGTCCTCCAAAACTCTCAGCGCACTGGGGAATTACCTGAGGATTGGAAAAGGGCGGGTGTGGTTCCCGTCTTCAAAAAATGGGGAAACTACAGAACAATCAGCCTAACATCCATACCTGGGAAGATACTGGGGGGAAAAATAATCGAAAAACAGACCTGTGAACATCTAGAAACAAATAGTCATAACTAGTAGCCAGCACATATTTGTAAAACAGATCACACCAAACCAATCTTATTTCATTCTATGACAAAGGGACTAAATTAGTAGACCAGCGAAATCCTGCGGACGTAATATACTTAGACTCCAGTAAGGCGTTCGACACAGTAGCCCACAACCAATTTTTGGGTAAGCTGGGAAAATGGAGGATAGTGATTGGCACAAAGTCACCCAAATGCCTATCAGGCTGAAGGCAGGACTAGAACTCCCCGTCTCCTGGTAATTCACCAGCCAGCTTTCCTGCCTAAGGAGGGTCTCGCGCTCACCAAATAAAGTCATAACTAGTAGCCAACACAGGTTTGTTAAAAATAAATTATGCCATGTTTAATTCTTTGATAAAGGGACTAAATTAGCAGAAATGCTATGGACGTAATAGACTTAGACTTCGGTAAGGCGTTCGACACAGTAGACCACAAACAATTTCTGGGTAAGCTGGAAAAACCTGTGATAGGCAGCATCACCACCTGATGGAAGGTAGCTGACTGACAAACCGTACTCAACAAGTAGTCCTTAACGGTACTACTTCTACATGGAGGGAAGTAAGCAGTGGGGTGCCACAAGGCTCCGTCTTAGGCCCAGGACTCTTCAATATCCTGATAACCAGGGGTGGGATTCTACCAGTTTGCACCTATTTGCTAGAACCGTTTGTTAACATTCTAAGCAGTTCAGAGAACCAGTTGTTAGAAGAAATTACTGGGCTAATCCTGTAAGGAAGGCAGGAAGGAAACATTCTGGTGTTGCTTACAGAAACTGCCTCTCCGTTAACCCTTATTACATTCTTGGCAGGACTAGACTTCCTGTCTCAGGAACTTCTCTGGAGTTTTTTCCCCCTCCTTTGCTGGTACTTTGCTTGTGTGGAGGGACCATTCAAAGTTACAATGGCACTGAAAAAAGTGACTTATGACCATTTTTCACACTTACGACTGTTGCAGCATCCCCACAGTCACGAGAGGACAGGCGAGGAGATGCGTGCCTCGATGTGGGTGATGTTGAGTTGGCCACTCCCAACCAGTAACATGACCACCAAGCCATGCCCACCCAGTCACATGACCACCAAGCCACACCCACCACCTAAGCCCCGCCCACATAACCGGTTGTTAAAAATTTTGAATCCCACCCCTGCTGATAACTGACTTGGATGAGGGAATAGAAGGGGAACTCATCAAATTTGCAGGTCATATTAAACTGGCAGGAGCAGCCAACCCCCCAGAAGACAAGCTTAGGATCCAAAAAAGATCTTGACAGACTTAAACAATGGGCCCCACCCAACAACGTGACATTTAATGTGGAGAAAAACAACTGTGAGAAATGCACTTAGGCAGGCAAAACCGAAGGTACAGGAGATTAGGAGAAACCTGGCACACAAAAAAAGGAACTTTAGAGTCCGACTGGACGATCCCTTAAATACGAGCCAGCCGCGTGTGGCAGCAGCCAAAAATGCGAATACAATCCTGGGTTATATAAACAGAGGCATAGAATCAAAATCACATGAAGGTTTGGTACTATTTTATAGGTAAGGACACACCTGGAATGTATCTCCAGGTTACAGAAAAGATGTGGAGACTTTGGGGGGGAAAATTGCAAAGAAGAGCAACGAAGACGATCCAAGGCCTCGAGACTAAAACATAGGAAGAACAGCTGCAGGATTTGGGTCTGGCCAGTCTAGAGAAGAAAAAGGACTCGGGGGGGGTGGGTGGCTTATTAGTTATTCATAATAATAATAATAAGTTATTATTATTAGTTATTCAGTAGCTTTCAAAAAGACACGGGATAACAATTTGTCTGAAGGTACAGAGCATTGAGCTGGGGGGGTGGGGGGGCCTGGACTGGAAGACCTCTGAGGTTCCTTCCAACTCTTATTCTTCTATTTATCTATTCTAGTCCAACCCTCGGCTGAAGCAGGAGACTTTATATAATTCCAGACAAGTGGCCGTCCAGCCAGTCTCTTCTTAAAAAGGGAACATTTCTCTTTAGTTCTAGGTTGCTTCCATTGTTTCTTTTCTTGCCTTATGGTGCTTTGGAGAATATTTTATTTATTTATTTTTATTTATTTGATTTGTCAATTGTTTGCAAGATAACAAGTATAAGTGTATATATAGTTATGAATACATGAAATGGGTGCATATAAGAAAAATAAAAGAAAAATAAAAGAAACAATAGGACAGGGACCGTAGGCACGTTGGTGCGCTTACGCACGCCCCCCTATGTTATGTTACCGACGTGAGAAGCACAGATGAAAAATGGCATTTTTTTTTGAGAAGGGTGTTGTGGGGAAGGAAATTCTGCCCATTTCTGGGACATGATGGATACGATTTAAGCTCAAACCCGAAACTTTCAGTTTCAGAAATTGGAATGCAGGAAGCAGAAAAAATATGTTTGCCCAATCTTGCAAATCAGTCTGGCTTTCCCCACGCGACCCCTAAAAAAAAGCACCTTTAATCCAATTATTTCCTCAATGTGCTTCTCCTTCCCCTTTCAAGAAGACCTCCATCTTCAAAGTCTAAAATGCTCAAAACTGTGAACCTTAAGAGGACTCTCTGCAGGAAACAGGAAGAGAAATTCTTAGGGCTTTCCAGAAATGACTTAATTTTATTTTTCAGCATGTCCCAACAGTGGGCAGGTCACTGGTTCAAGAGGACCCAAAGCTTGAGAGAGACCTATAAGTGGAATTTCCTCTCTAAAACGTGTGGCATGAAACCTCCTTCTAGGTTGGGAGGTCATCACAGGAGGCCGCAGAAATCCCACCGTCTTTTAACCTCCTCCTTCACCTCTTCCTCCTCCATCCTCTCTGCAAACCCCATTCCCTTCCAGCACTGATGATATTCCTTAGTTGGGTCATGAGACGTCTGCAAGAAAACCACCAAGCTCAGAGAGCACCAAAGACCGCATAGTCATTGTCCTCCTCCTCCTCCTCCTCTTTCTCCTCCCTTCAAACCCCCCCTCCCTTCTAGCATTGGTGATGTTCCCTATTTGAGTCATGAAATGTCTGACAGAAATCCACCAAGCTCAGAGATCACCAAAGACCCCACAGTCCTCCACCTCCTCCTCCTCCCACTCCTCTTCAAACCCTCCTCCTTTTTAGCCCTGATGACATTCCCTAGTTGGGTCATGAAATGTCTCCAAGAAAACTACCATGTTTGGAGAGCACCAAGGACCTGTCAGTTCAGCTCTGAGCTACAAATGTCTATGGTTTACTTAATTATGTTTCCACCCTGTCCCAACCCTGGACAGGTTGCTGGTCCAGGAGGAGCCAAACCTTGGGAGATGCCATTGAGGTGGAATCTCCTGTCTTAAAGATGCGGCCAATGTAGGGCCTCAACTGAGACACGGGGTCTCCTTTGCCTTGCCAAAAGTTCAACCCCCCTTCTAGGTTTTGAGCTCATGGCAGGAGGCCCCGTGGATCACACGGAGTTCTTACCTTCTCCTCCTCCTCCTCCTCCTCTTTCTCCTCGTTCTTGGCCTGGTTCTCCTCTTCCTTCCCCTCTTCCACTTCTTCTCCTTTCTCCTCCTCCATTCCAGCCAAAACTACACAGGTGAGTGCAACCACCGGGGGCCTCTCATCAAAAAAGTAGCAGCCAGTACATTGCCTGACCACCTGCAGAGGAGAAAAATGCATGAATGAAAAGCAGATCTAGATGTCCCAATATAATATTGCTGGATCCAATCCGTCAACAGAACCAGACATTGTAGTCTTTCGAGTTTTTGGACTCCTGCCGGAACCCACCCGCAAGGAACTTCTCTCTCTACTGAAGGTGGAATGTGGAGAGAGAAGGGGAGAATTTTTATGAAGATAGGCTGTGACACAAGTCTGAAAACTTGGAAAACTCAACCTCTGGACCTGGTAACCAACTCAGTTTGGACCCTGCAGAAAAAAGAGAGAGATTCAAGCTACCTTACTTGCTGGCTACAATCTGATTTCCTAAGGGAGAAATCTTGGTAGCCCCTGATCATCGCCTCAGCCATGTGGCCGTGCCTCCATCTACCGTAGATCAGGGGTCTCCAACCTTAGCAGCTTTAAGACTGGTGGACTTCAACTTCCAGAATCCCTCAGCCAATTCCTTGCTAAGGTTGGAGACCCTCGCAATAGACCGCCCACCCCTTCGCTGGCACCCGTCACTCACCCCTCCTTCCTTGAAGTCACATTCATCAAAGAAAACCACATCTTCCAAGAGACACATGGTTTCCTTGATGGTGAAGTTCAGCTCTTGATAGCTTTCAGAAATGGGATCCTGAAACAAGAAGGTGGTTCGTTAGTTTGAAGGCCACCTGCACCTTCTCCCCTGTTCCATTGGAATTCTTTCTGGATGACTCATGACGGTGCCAACAAACGTTGGCTACAGAGAAGAGCTCATGAGGGCTCCCAGAAGTTCTGGCTTCCATACCCACCATCCTGATGTGGATGAAGTCTCTTCAAGATCTCCATGCTAGGAGAACAGGATGGATGGATCCCCCTTTTTTCACCAGCTCACCAGCCATCTCAGAACTCCCGCTCATCAGGGATGGGTCTTCTAAACAAGCCCGCAGTGGACCTCAACTGAAGAGTACCTACCCACTGAGGCTCAGCAGAAGCCCCCAGAAGCCGGTATACACAGTCTTCTCCTGATCGGCTATTGTAGATGGCAAGGGCCACAACCTCCTTGTAGGTCAAGGGTTTAGCATGGGGTAGTGAGGAGGCCCCCAAGAACGAAAGAGTTCCAACCACCACCCAGGTCTTCCAGAAGTTCCCTTCCATCCTTGCTTTCTCCTCCGACGGAGGTCCACGGCCGATGTGGTCATAAGGACCACTGTCTCCTCCTTTTATGTCCTGATATGCAGGTCGTCAGCCTTCTGAATTTTCTGAGGTCCTTCCTGTGTACTCCTCTGGGGAGGGGGATCCGCAAGGAAGGGGGCCCAGCCAGGGACTTTGTCCAGGTGGGCAACTGGCATATAAAGGAACAGGTGCAGCCCCATGCAGAGTGATCGATTACAATCCCCTCCATTTTTTCCCCCCATTCACGAGGCTCAGGGATGGATGCCAAGGTGTAACCTCACAGCAGGAAACCTTCAATAATATTCTCTCTTTGGTACTTTCCAGATTTGCCTGGTACAACCGACCGCAATGGTGGTTGTGTTGCTTCTTTGTCTCTCGCTGTCGTTGTATGCTCCTATCCCTCCAGCCTTTTTGCAGTCTTTTTGCAGTCTGATTTATTATTATTATTATTATTATTATTATTATTATTATTATTATTATTATTATTAATTTTCCCCGCCATTGAGAGCTTTCCAGTTTGAATTCTCCCCTGGGAGCTTTCTGAAATCTGTAGAGCAGCCATTCTCAATAATGGCAACTTTTAGACTTGTGGAGCTTCAGGTTGTGGGGTTTTTAAAGAGGGGTCCAGGTTTTGGTTTTGTTTTTTTGAACTGATTGCCATGTCTTCTCCGAGCATAATTAAGACAAGCCTTCTTTGGGGTGAAGCTTACTTCTGGGTTATCTTAGCGAGACGCCCATGTAGAAGAATCTGGGGCTGGAGTGAAGAGGGGCATCGGTCCAGATCCTAGAATCCCTCGGTAGTCACAAGCAGACTAAATCCAACTCTCCTTGAGTGGTGCTGGCTGTTAGCAGACTCGCAACAAGGGCTACGCTGGCTCTGTTATTCTAAAATATTTCCTGCTTGAGCTGGAGGTCGGACCGGAATAGTCCGACCTCCCGCAACCTCCGGCCCATGGCGTGCTTAGATCTGGCCTGCGGGGCTGCCCTGGAAACAGCGAAGGGCTGGGCCGCGGGGTGACTCTGCCAACGGAAACGGAGCTTGGGAGGACCACGCACGGCCCTCCCAGGCTCTGTTTTCAGCCACGACAGCCTCCTGCAGTTCTTCTGCCGGTGAAAACGGAGGCCGGGAAGGCTGTTGAAGCCAAAAATGGATCCCTGGCGGGTCGCCTCCCTGGGCTCCGTTTTGGCTGACGGAGGGCTGCAGGAAGCCATCATGGCCGAAAACGGAGCCTCAACGAGTGAATGGCGAGTTGGCCATGCCCCCCCCACCAGCCATGCCCTCCCCCGGCCCTCCCTTGAGGTCAAACACAACCCCGATGTGGCCCTCAATGAAACCGAGATTGATACCTCTGGACTAGAAGACCTCCCCACCGTGTTCTTCTGTAACAGTCTCCTGCTTCAGCGGGGGGCTGGACTAGAAGACCTCCAAGGTCCCTTTCCACTGTGTTCTTCTGTTATTGGTGGCCCACAAAGCCCCAGATTCACAGTGGGGAACCAGAATGTTGAACCAGTAATTCAGGGGGCTGTTTGTCCCCTGGGATCCCCTACGTGGCATAGGGTCAGTCTATAGGGGGGGGCTGCCTTTCTCCTTTGGTTCCTGCTCGCCCCACTAGATCTAAGAGATCTCTTTGGTCAAGCCGTGACTCAAAACCCATTGTCTTCTCTGGGGCAGCACCTGAACTCAGCCCCCACCCCCCCACCCTGTTAGACTCTCGGCAGGTTCTGCCTTTCTGGCTACTTCCTCCTCCTCCCTCCAGGCTGTGGGGTGAACGCGGCTGTCGGTGGGGTTTGATGATGGGGATGGATTGTTTAGCTGGGGGATTGTTGGCCATGGTGGGTCGTCTTCATCCTGGCGCATCTCCCTCCTCGTGCCACGGGTGGCCGCGGAAACCATAAAACAACAGATAAAGGAAATCATATGTCCCGCGCAGGGACCCTTGGAAAGGAGTCGTGTTTTTCAAGTTACGAAAGGGAGGAAGTCTTAAGTAGCACGAGAGAGAAAAATATATGCCACTTTAGGGTAGAACGGTGCTGGCCTAAAAACCAGGAGATGGTGAGTTCTAGTCACGAATTTGACATGAAAGCCAACTGGGTGACTTTGGGCCAATCACCAGGAGACGGGGAGTTCTAGACCCGCCTTAGGCACAAAAGCCAGCTGGGTGACTTTGGGCCAATCACCAGGAGACAGGGAGTTCTAGTCCCGCCTTAGGCACGAAAGCCAGCTGGGTGACTTTGGGCCAATCATCAGGAGATGGTGAGTTCTAGTCCCGCCTTAGGCATGACAGCCAGCTGGGTGACTTTGGGCCAATCATCAGGAGACAGGGAGTTCTAGTCCTGCCTTAGGCACAAAAGCCAACTGGGTGACTTTGGGCCAATCATCAGGAGACTGGGAGTTCTAGTCCTGCCTTAGGCACAAAAGGTAACTGGGAGACTTTGGGCCAATCACCAGGAGCCGGGGAGTTCTAGTCCCACCTTAGGCACAGAAGCCGGTTGGGTGACTTGGCTCAATCACCAGGAGACGTTGAGTTCCACCTAGTTCCACCTTGGGCACGAAAGTTAACTGAAAGCTCTTTTGGGCTATCCTCAACCTCCCTCCCAAGGATGTAGTCATGGAGGAAATAGGAAGAGAAAAAAATATTAGCTATATTTGCTGCCTTGTGTTATTTCCAAAAACAATAAAGGCAGGTTAAATAACATGTACAAAAGTGAGGTCCCGAGTTGAGTGCTACTGTATTATTGTGGCTGTTGTTGTCCTTGGTATGCCTTGTGATGATTGTTAGTTTGATAAAGTTTTAAACTGGAAGCTTGCCCAGAGTCCCTGTTGCAAAACAGGTGCCTGCATTAACAGGTGGCTGCATTAAAGGATTAAAGCGAACAAACAGAAGGAGAAACTCCATCAAGGCGTTGGCTAAGATTCAACAGTGGCTTGATGGAACCGTAATCAGAAAACAAATCAGTGAATCATTTGGTTAGAGGAGATTCGGAAAACCACCAGTGAGAAGCTACGGACAGTACCTCCTTGTTCCTGGCCTCATGTTTGCTTAAAGAACTGGGAAATTTTCAGGAGTTCTGGATTCACAGATTAAGAAATTAAAACAGTTGTCTTCCTCTTATTTAATTTATCAAGAGAGCTCACTTGGGAAAAAAGGGGAAAAGCTCTGCAAAACATTTAAGCAGAAAAAAGCAGAAAAGGGAAGAAGAAAAGAGAGGAATATTGCAGGTAGTCCTTGACTTACAACTTCAACTGAGCCCAACGTTTCTCTTCCTAAACCAAATCATTGTTAAGTCAGCTTTGCCCCACTTTACGACCTTTGTTAAGTGAATCACTGTGGTTGTTCAGTTAGTCACATGGTTGTTAAGCGAATCTGGCTTCCCCCACTGACTTCGCTGGTCAGGAAATCGCCAAAGGGGATCACTGACCCACCCCCAGGACACTGCGACCGGCATAAATATGAGTCAGCCGCCAAGCGTCTGAATTTTGATCACGTGACCTTGGGAAGGCTACAACGGTTGTAAGAGTGAAAACTGGTCCTTTTTTTCAACAGCGTTGTAACTTTGAGTGGATCGTTGTAAGTTGAGCCAATCGATACATGTGACTGCAGGAGATGCGCAAATGTGAAAAGAGGATCATAAATCACATTTTTTTTCGGGCCAACGTAACTTGGAACGGTCACTAAATGAATGGCCGTAAGTCAAGGACTACCTCCTGGGTTTGGGTTCTCCGAGATCGCCTCAGGGTTATGATTTTGTGGGTCGATCAATTGCGCTGCAAAAACGCAGGGAAAACGTACAACCAAGCCAGGGAAATTCTGATTTAATCATCCAGCCGGACCGAATTGGGTCAGTTCTTCAGCGTAGTTTTAAGAAGAGGAAAAAGGGAGAATCCTTATCTTGTCCCATCGGAAGTTCTTCTGGGGTGGGGGCCCTTCTGGATCCCCATCCGTTACTACCAGCGGAAATGGGAAGCGAAGGCCTCTTTGGTTTTCTTGATAACTTTCTTAATGCCTGTCTTGATCTTCTTGAAAAAATTCTTGAATCTCTTGACCCGCCTGGGATGACCCTAGAGAGGAAGAGAAGGACCATGTACGTCAGGGTTAGGGGTGGGATACTACTGGTTCGGACCGGTTCTATGGAACCGGTTGTTACGGTTCTACGCAGTTCAGAGAACCAGCAAATCGTGCCCCTGGCTGGCCCCTCCCCCGCTTCCCTGTCTACTCACTCCTTAACTGGCATGCGCATCACCCAACTTGCTTGCATTTGGTAAGTTACTATTTTTCCTTTTCTCTCCCCCTGACCATCAGCTGTTCTGCTATGCTGGGAGCTTTAATTAACTGGAAAGCAGGAAATCGTTGGATTTCTTGCTTTCTAGCTAATCTAAAAGCAGAGCTGAACTTTCCTGAGGACTGAAGCTTCTATTTTTCAGTGCAGACTCGGGCAGCAGATTGCAGAAAGGTAGATTTCTGAGTGAATCTGTGATTCTGAGAGCAACTCAATCTGCCTGCCTGCTTTGCCTGATTCTGGGTAAAAGTTGCTCTTTTTTAAAATATAAAATTCTATATTTACATAAATACTTATAATATTTACATACGAGCCACGCCCAGACAGTCACATGGCCACCAAGCTACACCCACATATTAGGCCATGCCCACAGAACAGGTTGTTAAGAAAGTTTAATCCCACTCTTTGTCAGAGGTCCCCAAACTTGGCAACTTTAAGACTTGTGGACTTCAACTCCCAGAATTCTCCAGCCTGTTGGCTGGAGAATTCTGGGAGTTGTAGTCCACAAGTCTTAAAGTTGCCAAGTTTGGAGACCTCTGCTGTATGTGGTCAGGGCTTGGTCCCCAACACGTAGCCTGTGGGCCGTCCATCCCTTTTCTGTTTCGGCTTCCTGGCTCAATATTTTATTTTGCCTTATTCCCAACTCTGCTTCCTCTGCTATATTATATCTAGATTTTAGAATCAAATTCTTTCTCCTTTTCTTTTCTACTCTTTGCGGCCTAAATGGGTCGTGAACAGGATTACAAATGGTCTAGAACTCCCCGCCTCCTGGTGGTTGGCCCAAAAACACCCAGCCGGCTTTTGTGCTAGTTGGGACTAGAACTCACCGTCTCCTGGTGATTGGCCCAAATTTACCCAACTGGCTTTCATACCTAAGTCAGAACTAGAACTCACCGTCTCCTGGTGACTCCCCCAAGCTCACCAGCCACCGTTTGTGCTCAGGTGGGAATTCCGTCTTCTGGCGATTGGCCCAAAGTCACCCAGGTGGCTTTCAAGTCTTTGGCAGGACTGGACGTGAAGCTGAAAGGTTAAACTTTTGAGCTAAACTCGCACCCATCACCTCCCACGCTCCAGAAGTGGGCAGAATCTCCTCCCTGCAGCCCGCTACCCTTGTCGGCAGCGCCATGTTTAACCTGCGTTTCTCACATCACGACTGTAACAAACGTGCCTTGGGTTTTAAATTTTTAAAATAGCGTGCAGGGCAGAGGAGGGGGCTGCGGAAAGGAGGCTCTGCCCCTTTCTGAGGCACAGGAGATGATGGGTGCGAGTTTAGCTCAAAAGTGTAACCTTTCCGCTTCGGAAACTGAAAGGGGGAAATACTTTTGTGCGGCCTTGCAAAGCCAAACCTGCCGTTCTCCTCTCACCCCATCCCTGCAGCACCTGGGATCGGGAGGTTGTCCTCCGTGACCTTCTCCCGGCCCCCTGGAGAAGACCTCCCCCTCCAAAAGTCTGAAGCCTCAAAACGGAGAGAAACAGACCAGCCCTGCGGAGCAGGAAAAGAAATCCCTACGGCTTTCTAGAAATGATTCCAGGGGGTCTCAACAGCGGACAAGCTTCAGATTGTTAGAAATAAGAAAATTCAAAAATAAAATGTAGATGACGAGAATAGTATGTTATAGCATTAGGTAGACAGTTGCTCTATAGACATCCTCCTGTATCAAGGACAACAGGAGAAGAGATAAACCATTGCCCTAACTTTCTTTAATCAACTGAAGCTAGATTTTGTCTTTCAAAGCATCTGCTTAAGTTTACCAGACTTTTACTTTGCCCAGGTGAATACGTTAGAGGTGCATGTTGTTAGAAAGAAGTGCTGAATGTAACATTCATATGTAATAAGTGTGGTGTTAGGAATAGATATTTCTTTGTTCTCGGACCGTTAGAAAGAAGGAACAGGCTGAAGGAACATTGTTTAATGCCAAGTAAGATAAGATGTGATGGGAGGTCATTGGGAGGTATCAAAGGAGATGAAGTGGTCTCCATAAAACGTCCTGGATTAACCATGCTCGGTCACTGGGTCGATGTAGGAGGGGCGGGGGGGGGTGCGTCGGGATAGAAGAACTATAAAATGTAATGTATTGAAATCTTAAGGTGTGGTTCTTGGCTCAAACTTCATGTTGAAGTCAGCTGAGATTGCCCGCTCTTTGCAAACAGCTTAACAAAATAAAATCTCTGTGTTTTCACCGATCCAAGTTGTTGTCATTCACTTCCAACAAGATGGAACCAACGCTTGGGAGATACCATATAAGTGGTCTCCTCTCCTTTGAAAATGGCTCAACTCTCCTTATAGGTTTAGAGCTCATCAGAGCAAAGTCCTATCCATCAAACCACCTTCTTACCTCCTTTTCCTTATCCTCCCTTCTCCTCCTCTTCTTTCTCTTTCTCTTCCTTCTCCTTTTTCTTCTTGTCCTTCTCCTCCTCCTCTTCTTTTTCCTCTCCTCCTCCTCCCCTTCTTCCTCCCCTTCCTCCTCCTCCAACCCACTCCCTTCTAGCACTGATAATATTCCCTATTTGGCTCATGAAACGTCTGCAAGGAAACCATTCAGCTCAGAGAGCACCAAGGACTCCACCATAGTCATCGTTCTCCTCCTCCTCCTCCTCCTCCTCCTCCTCCTCTTCCCTCTTCTGCTCCTCCTCTCCTCAATTCCCACTCCCTTCTAGCACTGATGACATTCACTAGTTGGGTCATGAAATGTCTGCAAGAAAACTACCCAGCTCAGAGAGCACCAAGGATCTGACCATTCAGTTCTGAGCTACAAATTCCTATTTTTCCACCCTGTCTCAACCCTGGACAGGTTGCTGGTTCAGGAGGAGCCAAACCTTGGGAGGTGCCATTGAGGTGGAATCTCCTATCTAAAAGATGCGGCCAATGTAGGGCCTCAACTGAGACACGGGGTCTCCTTTGCCTTGCCAAAGGTTCAACCCCCTTCTAGGTTTTGAGCTCATGGCAGGAGGCCCCGTGGATCACACGGAGTTCTTACCTTCTCCTCCTCCTCCTCCTTCTCCTCTGCTTCCTTCCCTTCTTCCTTCTCCTCCTCCTCCTCTTCTGCTCTCTCCTCCTTCTCCAGTCCAGCCACAGTGACACAGATGATTACAACCACCGGGGGTCTCTCCTCAAAGAAGTAGTAGCCTCTGCATTGCCTGACCACCTGGGTAGAGGAAAGAAAACATGGAAGGAATCAAGCCATCTCCCAAAATTCGTTCCACAGATGCCACCGCCTGCTTTGCCATGGAGAAATCTTGGATCAGCCCCTGTGGTTGCTTCAACCACGTCCTTCATTAGGCAAGATCTACCTCAATCTCCATGGATCGGGGTCGCTTCTCTTTCCACGGCATTGGGCCTAAGTATTGAGTTGTAGAACGGAGAAGACACCCAAGACAAAGATAGACGAGAAAGAGGCAGCCTCAGATATGCTTTTTCTTCAACCCAGCAAGGATGGGATCCATTTTCATCTCTGCCCAGAAGATCCTACAGATGTCCCACGCCCTCAAAACATTGCCGGTCCAGGTTGGCATCCATCACTCACCCCGTCTTCTCGGAAGTCACATTCGTCCAAGGAACATACGTCTTCCACCGGACACACTGTCTCCTTCATGGTGAAGTTCAGCACCTGGTTGCTTTCAGAACTGGGATCCTGAAACAAGACACAGTCCAGGAGGGACTTAATCTGGAGGCCACCTGACCTTCCTCCCACGTTACTTCGGAACTACGTTGAATGACTCTAGACGGAGCCACCAGAATGTGGCTACAGAGCAGGTTTTGGATCCCGTGCCCATCATCCTGAATGACCATGGATGAAGGCTCTTCAAGACCTCCATGCTTGGAGAACAAGATGGATGGATCCCCCGCTTTTCCGACTAACTTACTGGCGGTCTCGGAACTGCCGCTCATCAGGGACGGACCTTCTCTACAAAACAAGCCCACGGTGGACCTCAACGGAGGAGTCCCTACCCGATCAGACTCACCAAGGGCCTCCAGAAGCCATTATACACTGTCTTCCCCTGCTTTGCTATCGTAGGTGGCCGCGGCAAGGCCCACAGCCTCGTCATGGGTCAATGGTTTGTGTGGAAGTGAGGAGGTCCCACCGATGGAAAGAGCCCCCAACCACCCGGTCAACATCTTCCAGAAACAGCCTCCCATCCTTGGTTCTTCTGCCATGGAGGCCTACAGCCGATGGGCGGTCCTCCCTTTTTCGGTTACTTCTCCAGACCCCTCCCCACAAGGGATGGGTCTCCCCTTTCAAAGGCTCTAAGCGGGATGGGATCAAGTCCAGGATGGACCTGAGCAAGGGAGAACCTACCCACTCCGGCTGAGGAACAGCCTCCAGGAGACGGAAGCGGGAGTCTTCCCCGGCTTTGCTATTGTAGATGGACACTCCAAGCTCCACGGCCTTGTCGTAAGTCAGCGGTTTGTGTGGAAGTGAGGAGGTCCCACCGAGGGAAAGAGCCCCAATCACCAGCAAGGCCTTCCAAACGTTCCCTTCCATCCTTGGTTCTTCGACTAAGGAGGGCCACGGCCGATGTGGTCCTCGGGAACCAGGCTGTCTCCTTTTATGCCCCGATAGGCAAGTTGTCCACTCGCTGGTGGATGGCCAGGGGGTTTCCACACTGAATTTTCGAAGGTCCTTCCGGCACAATTTGACACTTTGGCAAGAGGTGGAGACGGAGACAAAGCAGGGCCAATCAAAAACCGTTTTGTTCAGATGGGAAACTGGAGGACAAAGAAACAGGTGTTGCACCTGGCAGGCCCACGGAAAGTGGTTGGTGTAGATTACGGTCCCCTCCATTTTTCTTTTCCATTCACGAGGGTTGCGGGTGGATGCCAAGGTGTAACCTCAGAGTAGGAGACCATAAATAATCTTGCGCAGTTAGAATTGCGAAGTGTCGAATAGCAGCCCAGAGAAAAAACTGTGTCCCCCAAACAATGATATCAATGAGGCACTTTGGTGGAGGTGCAGGACGAAAAACCAGGTGATGGTGAGTTCTAGTCCCGCCTTAGGCATGAAAGCCCTCTGAGTTACTATGGGCCCATCACCAGGAGACGGTGATTTCTAGTTTCACATTTGGCATGAAAATTGGCTGGGTGACTTTAAGGTGACCCCAGGAGACAGTGAGTTCTAGTCTCACCTTTGGCATGAGAACAAGATGGGTGACTGGGCCAATCCCCAGGAGACAGGGAGTTCTAGTCTCACCTTTGCATGAGAACAAGATGGGTGACTGGGCCAATCACCAGGAGACAGGGAGTTCTAGTCTCACTTTAGGCATGAAAACAAGATGGGTGACTGGGCCAATCCCCAGGAGACAGGGAGTTCTAGTCTCACCTTTGGCATGAGAACAAGATGGGTGACTGGGCCAATCCCCAGGAGACAGGGAGTTCTAGTCTCACCTTTGGCATGAAAACAAGATGGGTGAATGGGCCAATCCCCAGGAGACAGGGAGTTCTAGTCTCACCTTAGGCATGAAAACAAGATGGGTAACTAGGCCAATCCCCAGGAGACAGTGAGTTCTAGTTTCACCTTTGCCATGAAAGGTGGCTGGATGACTTCGGGCCATTTCTCTCTATCTGCATACCTCACAAAACTGTGACTGTGGGAAAATAGGAAAAGAAAGAGATATTAGATATACTTGGTGCTTTACGTTCTTTGTAAAAATAAGGAAGACAGTTTTTAAATATCTAAACAAAAACGAGGCCATGACTTGGTTGTTATGGCATTATTTGGTCTGTTTTTGTTCTTAGCTATCAGGGTGTATATTGTCATGGTGTTAATTGCTTTTATTGTGTTTAACTTGGTTAGCTGCCCAACATTGCTGTTATGGGTGTCTATAAAAATGTATTAAAGTGGACAAAAGCCCATGGAGAAACTCCATCAGGGTGTTGGCTAAGTGTCAGCAAAGACTTAAGGGTACCTAATCAATCAATCAATTAAATGCAATTGTCCCTATAATTATATAGGATCTCCTGAATGAACAAGGGGTTGGACTAGAAGACCTTCAGGGTCCCTTCCAGCTCTATTCTGATGAAATAAGGCAAGGTCAGGTATGTTAGTGTAAGGTAAGGTAAAGTAAAGTAAGACAAGATGAGAAGATTTTTTTTAATTTTTTTAGTTATTTTTATCAAGCAAGTATTAGATAACAGATATAAATATAAACATGATTATGAATACATGAAATGGATACTAATAAAAGGGAACATTAAGACAGGGGCGGTAGGCACATTTGGTGCGCTTATGCACGCCCGCTACAGACCTCTTAGGAAAGGGGTGAGGTCAGCAGTAGACCGTCTAAGGTTAAAGTTTTGGGGTTTGGGAAAGAAACCACAGAGTCAGGTAGAGGATTCCAGGCACTGGCCACTCTGTTGCTGAAGTCGTATTTCCTGCAATTGAGTTTGGTGCAGTTTACTTTGAGTTTGTATCTATCTATTGTGTGCTTGTGTGTTGTTGTGGTTGAAGCTGAAGTAGTCATTGATGGCTAGGACATTGCAGTAGATAATTTTATGTATTATGCTTAGGTCGGACCGAAGGCGGCGTAGTTCTAGGTTGTCTAGGTCTAAAATTTCAAATCTAGTGGCATAAGGTATTCTGTTGCGAGTAGAGGAGTGGAGAACTCTTCTTGTGAAATATTTCTGGACTTTCTCGACTATATTAATATTCAATATGTAGTGCAGATTCTAGACTGATGAGCTGTATTCAAGTATTGGTCTAGCAAATGTTCTGTATGCTCTAGTTATTAGTGCAATATTACCGGAGAAAAAGCTACGTAAGATTAGGTTAACAACTCTTAATGCCTTTTTGGCTATGTAGTTACCGTGGGCTCTAGCACTTAGATCATTTGAGATGAGTACTCCAAGATCCTTGACACAATTTGGATCATCAACAAGGTCTTGACTATTCAGCCTGTATTTTATTTTCTGATATATATATTTTTTGCCAGTACGTAAGACAGACCATTTGTTTGTTGAGATTTGAAGTTGCCGCTTGTTGATGTAAGATATAAAATAAGCTTTATTGATATTTTTTATTGTGAGCACCCTGGCCCACCTTCAAAATTAAATTACGTTGCCTCCTCCCAGAACAGAATTAGAGGATAATCACTTAAATATGAGCCGGCCGTGTGCTGCAGCTGCCAAAAAAGCCAACACAGTTCTAGGCTACAATAACAGAAGGATAGAACCAAGATCACAAGAAGTGTTAATATCACTTGATAATGCCTTGGTAGGACCACACTTGGAATTCTGCATCCCATTTTGGTCAACATATTATAAAAAAGATGTTGAGACTCTAGAAAGAGTGCAGAGAGCAAAAACGATGATGACTGGGGGGCTGGAGGCTAAAACGTACGAAGAACGGTTACAGGAACTGGGTATGTCTGGTTTAAAGAGAGGAGGCACTGAGGGTGACACGATAGCAGTCTCCCCATATTTGAGGGGCTGCCATAGAGGACTATTCTCCAAAGCCCCTGAGGATGGGAGAAGAAGCAATGGGTGGAAACTAATCAAGGAGAGGAGCAACCTAGAGCTAAGGAGAACATTCTTGATAGTGAGAACATAGAACAACAGAGTTGGAAGGGACCTTGGCGGTCATCTAGCCTAACCCCCTGCATGAGCAGGAGAGCCTATGCCAGACAAATGGATGTCCAATCTCTTCTTGAAAGCCTCCAGTGATGAACCACCCACAACTTCTGGAGGCCAGCTGTTCCAATGGTCGATTGTCCTCACTGTTAGGAAGTTCCACCTTAACTCCAGGTTGCTTCATCCCTTGGTTACTTCCATTGCTTCTTGTCCTGCCTTCAGGTGCTTTGGAAAATAAATGGAAACACCGCCACCACCCGCTCCCCGTCTTGGTGACGATTAACCAGTGGAACAGCTTGCCACCAGAAGTCGTGGGGGGGGTCCACCACTGGAAGTTTTGAAGAAGAGACCGGGCAGCCATTTGCCTGGCATAGGCTCTCCTGCTCGTGCAGGGGGTTGGACTAGATGACCTCCAAGGTCCCTTCCGACACTGATGTTCTACGCTCTGTCCTCTATGTTCAGGGCCAATCAGGAAAAGGAGGACAAGGAAGTAAGTCCCGCACCTGGTAGACCCACGCAGGGTGATTTTGGCGTTGACGCAATTACAAGCAACTCCGTTTGTGTGGCTCAGGAGGGGTCGGGGATCTGTGCCAAGGTGTAACCTCAGAGTAGGGGAGCCTACTCTGATCTTTATACTTCACCAGCTCAAAACCCATGTTTCACTATGAAACAATGTGGTCGGGCTTAGTTTTTGGGGAGGAAAATAAGCGGGGGTGGGTGGGAATTCTGCCTCTGCCTACCAACATCCATCGGTATTCGTCGGGCTAGTGTCCTGTCAATGTGTGAGAGAGTTGAGGGATGTTTGGAAACTGAAGCAGTATTTGCTGTGTGAGCAAGGAGACAGCAAGGAGCCTGGGTGTGGCTTAGCTCAACTGTTCCGGACCAAAGCTGTGAAACTGCACCCAAAACCGAAACTCCTCTACTTGTGTTTTGCATTTGGAAGAGATTTCTTTTGCAGGTGGGGAAGTAGAAATCCTTAGCATCAGAGTATGTTAATAATAATAATAATATAGGAAATACTCCAAATGCTCTGATGGTCATTTCGAAAAATCTTTTCTTAGTGAGCCCCTAGAAGCCAAGAGGAATATCTGGGCCTAATTTCAAGTTTGTAGGCTTTACAGTTCTGGAGATTTTGTGATGATGCATGAGGGGTATATATAAGATAGATATAAGATAGATATATAAGATAGATAGATGTCTAAGCAGGGGCTCTATTCTGAATTTAATTGAATTAATTCAATTTAATTCTCACCCGTGCTGCCCTCCCATCGGCCTCATGTCGCCTGTTTTGTCCTTTTGCCCACTGGAGGTTTCAGACGGAATTATTGTCCTAAATTCTCTACTCAGAGTTGTCATAAAGCATTTATCCAACTCGGAAATTTGAAGACAGCCAACTGGGTGACTCTGGGCCCATCAGCAGGATACTGGGAGATCTAGTTCCGCCTTAGGAATGAAAGCCAACCCGGTGACTTTTGGGCCCCTCACCGGGAGACGGTGAGTTCTAGTTTTGCTTTAGACATGAGGGCTGACTAGGTTACTTTGGGCCAATCAGCAGGAGACAGTGAGTTCTGGTCCCGCCTTAGGCAAACAAGCCAGCCAGGTGACTGGGCCACACCCCTTCCTCAGGCCTGCCCACCTCACAGGGTTGTTGTGTTGGGGAAGATAGGAGGAGGAGGAAGGAGTATCAGATATGTTAGCCACCTTGAGTTACTTACAAAAATAATAAACACGGGATAACATTAAGCAAAAGAAGCTGTGAGTTGTTGCAATGGGATCTTTGTGGCTTTTGTTGACTCCTGCGTGTAGAAGTAGTCCTCGACTTACGAACACAATCGAGCCTCAAAGTTCTGTTGTTAAGCGAGACATTGGTCAAGTGAATTACCTGTTACCCAGGATTACCTGTCATTCTACTCGCAACCCAGTTAGGCCCAAAATAAACTCAACCGTCATGAAGGAAACAAGATTGGAGGTGAAGGTTGGAAAAGAAGAAAAATCAAGATTCTTGCCAAGAGAAATTTTCTTATTTATTTATTATTCAGAAAATTCACACAGCCTTTTAAATCAGTTTCGGTGACTCCGGAGTGCTTCCAAAACACGGACAGTCCTCAAGCTGCAACGGTTCATTTAGTGACCGCTCCAAGTTACAACGGCACTGAAAGAAAAGTGACTTATGACCCTTTTTCATACTTACAACCGACTCAGATTCTTGGCAACTGACTTGTATTTATGATGGTCATGGTGTCCCTGGGGTCACGTGATCCCCTTTTTGCGACCTCCTGAGAAACAAAGTCAATGGGGGAAGCCAGATTTGCTTAACGACCATGTGACTCGCTTAACAAATGCAATGATTCGCTTAACAACTGTGGCCAGAAAATTCATCAAATGGGGCATAAGTCGTTTAGCAAACGTTTCATTTAGCAACATAAATTTTGGGCCCAACTGTGGTCATAACTCAAGGATTATCTGTAGAAGCAGGATAGAAGAACTGATTTTACTCCCCAAAAGACTCATATTTTGCAAAGAAGAGAGTTTATCTGTCTCATTTGGTATTTACAGGTTGTCCTCGACTTACGACCAGAATTGAGCACAAAATTTCTGTTACTAAATGAAACATTTGTCAAGTGAATTTTGCCCTATAATATGACCTTCCTTTCCTGCATTCGTTAAGCGAATCCCTGCAATTGTTAAGTCACCAACACGGTCGTTAAACGAATCTGGCTTCTCCTTTGACTTTGCTTGTCAGAATATTGCCAAGGGGGGATTACGTGATTCCTTATGTGACCGTCATAAGTATGAGTCAGTTGCCAAGCGTCTGAATTTTGATCACAGGGAGGCTGTGATGGTTTTAAATGTGGGGGGAAAAAAAACAGTCCCGAGTCCCTTTTTTCAGTGCCATTGAAAATTTGAACGGTCACTAAATGAACCGTTGTAAATCGAGGACTGCCTATATTGCCATTTTACAAAAAGCCGGGTTACTGATTCTAAGTCGCGCCCTTGTTGGGAAATCCTGGCCTGGATCCTTCGCCCTAAACGGGGGTCTAAACGGGGGAAAGCAAAGCTGATGGTTCCTTTAATCGCTGGGCGATTGGAAGATCCGGTCCTGCCGAGTCGCGGCTCAGAAGCGGAAATTCACGCCGAATACGAAGTGGTTATTCCGGAAGAAATCTCGAACGCCATCCCGGATCCTGTGGAAAAAGTCCTTGAATCTCTTGACACGTTTGGACGGGTCCTAGAGAGGAAGGAGGTAGAACACAGAGTGGTAGGGGACCTTCGAGGTCATGTAGTCCACCCCACCCACCCCCGCTCCCAGCAGGAAACCCTCTTTCCTCCTCCCCCTCCCCCTCCTCCCCCTCCTCCTCCGAATAACAGAGTTGAAGGGGTCCTTGGAGGTCATCTAGTCCAACCCTCTGCTCTAGCAGGAAATCCTCTCTTCTCCCCTCCTCCTCCTTCTCCTCAGAATTACAGAAGTTAGAGGGAGCTTGGAGGTCTTCTAGTCCAACCCACGGGAAACCCTATAACATTTCGGACATATCGTTGTCCAATCTCTCAACTGAGATGGGGGTCTCCTCCCACCTGGCAAATGGTCCGACCCTCCTTCTAGGTTTTAAGACCATCCTGGGAACCACCACACCTCCTTCTTACCTTCTCCTCCTCCTCCTCCTCCTCCTCTTTCTCCTCTTCCTTCGCTGTTCCCACCACGGTGTCACAGGTGAGAACAGCCACCGGGGGCCTCTCCTCCAAGAAAAAGTAGCCTGTGCATTGCCTGACCAGCTGTGGAGGAGAGAAAAGCGTGGTGAGGATCAAGAACTGGTCCCACGGAGAGCACCGTTCGCTTCCCCATGGAGGAGGAATCTTGCGGTCTTGGATCCTTCCAGGGCGACGCTGGACAATCTAGGCTGGTCGACCCTCAGTCTCTCCACGTACATTTTAGGAGAGTCGGAAATAACCACGGAAGGGTTCAAGTGTTGGGTTGCTCCCCCATCCATGGAGCCGGGTTGGCTTGGAGAACCGAGAAGAAGATGTCCCTCAAGACAAAGGGAGAAGAAGTTGAAGAGGTCTTTCTTCAACCCAACGTAGAGGGAGCTCCCGTTTCACCTCTGCCAAGAAGACCCTACAGAGGGTCTTCTACCCTCTACCCTACATCACCCCGCCAGCTGGGTATCGATCCCTCACCCCGTTTTCTTTGAAGTCGCATTCCTCCATGGAAAATTCTTCTTCCGCCGGGCACACGGTCTCCTTGATGGTGAAGTTCAGCTCTTGGTTGCTTTCGGAATAGGGATCCTGAAACGAGACACGGCAAAACCGAATGGCTAGTTTGAAGGCCTCCTCCGCTGTTTTACGTCGGGGGTCCTTTCTGAACTTGCAGGTGAACTTGCAGAGGGGGCTCCATGCCAGTTCTAGAAGTTCTGGGTTTCACGCCTATCATCCTGGCGGACCACGGATGAAGACTTGTTTGGAGATCTCCATGCTAGGAGGACAGGGTGGGTGGGCCTCTCTTTTTCAGCTAGCCCCCCCTGTAGTCTCAGAAGTGACCCCCAGAGCGATGGGCCTTCTCTGCAAAGGCTCTTCAACAGGCCAGGAGGGAGGGCACCAAGGGCCTGAAATAGCCCTCCGAACTCATGGTTAGGACATCTCAGCTTTTAGCCTCGCTTGGGAAAACCTACCAGGGTGGTGTCCTGTCCCGAAGGATGCAGGAAGAATTGTTTTCAAAGAATGTCCAAGGTGCCAGGAGCTCATGAAACTCTACTGTGTCTTGAATACTCTTTGAGGTGAGTAGCCTCTTGGGTGTAGTATGGAAGGTGCTGGACCAGGAGCTACAGAAACCATCTCAGATACAGGAGCTTCTAGGGGGACTCGGGGCCTCTCCTCTCCTCTCCTCTCCTCTCTCTCTCGCTCTCTCTCCTCTCCTCTCCTCTCCTCTCCTCTCTCTCTCTCTCTTTCTCTGCCTACCCTACTTTTCAGGCCAGGAGAAGAAGGGAGACGGGGAAGTTGGGTTTGCTGCCTTTGACTTCTGTAGACCACACATATTGTCATCATCTTCACCACAAACTTCATGATTATCACCATCCTCCTCACCGTCCTCACCATCCTCACCTTCATCATCATCTTCAATTTCATCTTCCTTCTCACCATCATCCTCACCATCACCTTCAACATTCCCATCCTCCTCAACTTCATCATCCCTTTCAACCTCATCCACATCCCCTTCATCTTCATCACCCCCATCTTCATCATCCTCAACTTCCTCATCCCCTTCGTCTTCATCATCCCCATCTTCATCATCCTCATCACCTTCGTCATCCCCATCTTCCTCATCCTCCTCAATTTCACCATCACCTTCACCCTCACCCCCATCCCCTTCACCTTCTTCATCCCCATCATCCTCATCTCCATCACCTTCATCATCCCAGCATCCTCCTCCTCCTCAACTTCTTCTTCTTCTTCATCATCCTCACCTTCATCATCCCCATCTCAGGCCACCCCACCCACTGCCAGGACTCCATACCCATTCAGGCTGAGGAACGTCCTCCAGGAGACGGTAGACGAAGTCTTCCCTGGCTTTCTTATTGTAGATCTCCACTCCGAGACGTAGGGCCTCGTCATAAGTCAACGGGTTGTGGGGTAGGTGGGGGTGCCCAGAGGCTGAAAGGACCCCAACCAGCAGCAGGGTCTTCCACAAGGACCCTTCCATCCTTGGTTCTTCTGCTATGGAGGTCCACGGCTGATGGGGTCCTCAGGACCAGGGGGCCTCCTTTTATGTCCTGCTACGCAGATTGTCCGGCCGCTGGCGGACGGCCAGGGGTTTTCCCCCATTGAATTCTCCGAGGTCCTTCCTGCAGAAGGGACGCTCCTTTTTCTTGGGAAGGGGGCCGAGACAAAGGAGGACCAATCAGGGACCGTTTTGTTCAGGTGGGAAACCGGAGGAGAAGGAAACGGGCCCTGCACCTGGCAGACCCATGGAAAGAGGTTGGTGTAGGTTACACTCCACCGCCGTTTCCCCCATTCACCAAGGCTGGGGATCGTTGCCAAGGTGTAACCTAAGAGTAGGAGTCCTTTCCTCCCCGTTAAACAACCTGGCATGGGATCTTCCTTTTTTTGGCACCCTACACGACAAGGGAACCAACCATGGTGGGTTCCGGCGATGGCATCCGTCCTTTGCTTTCGTCTGCTGCTCTGCCCAACTCTGCCTCTTAAAATGGGCTGTTTCACCCAGTGGCGTTTTCGGACTGACCACCTCTCCCAAATTCTCCACCTGTCTTGACGTTTGTAGAACAAGGAACCGTGGGGTTTGGGTTTGGAAGCCGCCTTGGGGGTCTTCAATCCACTGCTCCAGCGGGAGGCTCTATAGCTGGGACCCCCCAACCTTGGCCAGTTTAAAACTTGTGAGCTTCAAATCCCTGAATTCCTCAGGCAGCCATGCTGACTGTGGAATTCTGGGAGTTGAAGTCCACAAGCCTTTGGAGACCCTTGCCCTATGCAATCCCGGATGAAGGGCTGCCTGGTTTTTAGGACATAGAATCCTAAGGCTGGAAGGGTCCTTGGAGGTCTTCCAATCCAACCCTTGCTTGAGCGCTATCATTCCAGACAAAGAGCTATCCAGTCTTTCCTTGAAGACCACCAGGGGTGAAGCACCCACTGCTCTGTGGCCAGCAGTTCCACCGTTTAATTATTCTCACTGTCAGGAAGTTTCTCCTTAATTCCACGTTGCTTCTCTCCTGGATTAGTTTCCACCCATTGCTTCTTGTCCTGCCCTCTGGAGGTCTGGAGAATAGCTTGACTCCCTCTTCTTTGGGGCAGACCCTCAAATACTGTCAGACTGCGATCATGTCCCCCATAGTCCTTCTTTTCACTAGACTAGACATCCGTGACAGGTAGTCCTGGACTCACAATCATAATTGAAAGAGGAAGGAAGGAAGGAAGGAAGGAAGGAAGGAAGGAAGGAAGGAAGGAAGGAAGGAAGGAAGGAGATAATAGATAGAGACAGACAGACAGACAGACAGACAGACAAATGAGAGAAAGAGAGAAAAGAGAAAGATAGGTAGAAATATGTAGGTAGGTAGAGAGAGAGGATAGATAGATAGATAGATAGATAGAT